CACAAGTCTGTGAATATAACAAAAAACACTGAATGGTACACATTAAAGGAGTGAATTTTATGGCATGTGAGTTATTCAAGCTGTTATTAAAAAGAAGAAACTTGCCCAAGGTCACAAGGCTAGTAGTAAATGGCAGCCCCCAGATTCAAACCCAGGTCTGTTTGATTCCAGAACCTGTGCTCTCAACCATTATGTAGCTCTGATTACTGTTACTCCCTAAAACATTTGCTGAGGACACCAGCAAATTTAATGGTAGGTGATATGGGCTTTGGCATAATTCCAATCACAAGTATGAAGGAGACAAACACTGGACTCCCCAGGACTTCCAAGGATCGATACACATTAAGCATTGTTAATCTAGTAAACCTTTTTAAACATTCTGAACTTGGAAAAACAGTTATTCTAGAAGAAAAACAAAAGAAAATTGAAAAGGGGAGTATCCTAAAAGGAAAATGACAAAAGTCCTAGGAGGCCACGGCAAGGATTTTTTGGGCTAAGTAAAATGTAAATCCAATGGTATGACGTCCATGCTTACTGCCCTCCAATGGCTTCCCACCAAACACATCTCCATGGATGATGGCCCTTCATGATCTAGCTACATGGCTTCCTCTCTGACCTCATCTCAGCCTACCTCCACTGCACTTACTGTGCCCACTGTCCTCAGCTTTCCAGCTTTGGTGGTGGTTCATCTTTGACAATCAGTTTCAGCTCAATGTCCCTCCTCTGACAGACCTTCTGGCTTCTGTGACATCCAAATCATGTTAGCCACCCCCACGTGCTGTCCCTGTGATCACATATGATCTGTCTTTATTTAGTGAACAAAGCTCCATGGTGGGAGGTGGGGACCCCACTGCAGTCCCAGGCATACAACAGATGCTTGCTCAACATTTGGTGAACAAACCAATAAAACACACATCTCTGCCATGAGATGCCTCAGCAAGCCAGGGCCTCACTTTTCCAAACTATAAAAGCACAGAATCAAAAAGACTCCCCTCTCAGGAACCCACCTCAGGGTAGTCTTCACAAGCTGGTAGTCCAGGCCTGGTGAGCTCATTAACCATTTAGATTCTATGGCCACTGCTTCGATTAGTTTATGTTGATAACCGTATGCTTTCCTTCCTTCACCCAGATTATATACTTACCATATACTTTTTTCCTTTTCCATTCTCCAACAATTTTAAATTGTTTAAGTAGTGTGGCCACTCCATGATGGATATGAGATCCCTCTTTCCTCAAAAGCTCTTTCAGTTCCTCTGTGACTGATTTAAAAATTCTCCTTATTCTAACCCCAGCCATTGAAAGTCATTTAAACTAGAGATGTACCCTGGTCCACACACATCATACTCATACAATTCCCCCATCTCTAGGGCATAACAGAATCGCACACTCATGCTGAGCTCAGAAGGTGCGAGACTCTGCACAAGGAGACACCACAGGAGTACAGACAGCTCTCATGCCTCCCTCCCACTGCATTTACTTTTCCCTACAGAGACCTCCATTTTCTCCCAGTTCAGTCCCTAAGCCTCCACCTGATCTCGTCTACCTTCTTGCCCAACCCAGATCTTGATACCTAACTACCCAAGTTATTCACCAGTATTCAAAGAGCTGTGTCTCCACTCTTCTTCCCCTGTGCTACCAGCAGAAAATCTGAGCCTTGATCCACAGTCTGCCTCCTTTCCTTCCCTCACATGCTGCAGTGATGGAGTGACCCAGGTTAAGGAAAAAAAGGAAAAAAAAAAAACACCATCAGGAAGAATGACTCAAAGACCGACACATAACATTTCTGACAACGGTTGCTCATACATTCTTCAACATGACCTTGGTAAGCTTCTTCACACATCCCTCCCAGCAATTAGCCTAAATTTTCATCATTTTCCTCAAGCCTCAACCCACCCTCCCTGTCCATCACAACCCCTATGGCAAATAATGCTGTCCTCAAGAAGGAAATCTCAAGAAGCATTTCCTGAATGCCATCCCTTCACCTGCAAACCGATCTCTACCTGCACACACCCCCAGTCTGGGAATGAACTGTCCCTCCTGGTTCAAAACTCCATTCTGCCCTTGTGCTGTTGATCTCACCTCAGTCTCTGTCGCTTCATGGGCTCCTCTTCCTCTCCTCAACTCTTAACTATCCTCCCAGTTATGTTCTTGTTCTACCTACCCTCCCTGGGAAATCTCAGTCACAACCATGCTGGTCATTAACATTATATGGAAATAACTCTCTACAATCCCCAGCCCCCATCTCTTCCCTGAGCTTCAGATTGTTACATCCACCTACCTCTTAGACAGGGCCTCATGTATGTCCCAAACCCCTCAGTCAATTCCGATTTCACCTCCTTTTCTCTTCACCATTTAGCCAGTTGTTCCTTGTGCTGCCCATCTCAGCTGGATACAACATTCTACCTAGCTATCCGATCAAGCCTCCTGTCAACTTTAACTCTTCTTTCTGCCTTGTCATCCACATCAAAGCAATCCTGTTGATTTTTATCAACTGAAGATTTCTTTTTATTTTATTTTATTATGTTAATCACCATACATTACACCATTAGTTTTTGATGTAGTGTTCCATGATTCATTGTTTGCGTATAACACCCAGTGCTCCACGCAGTATGTGCCCTCTTTAATACCCATCACCAGGCTAACCCATCCCCCCACCCCTCTCCCCTCTAGAACCCTCAGTTTGTTTCTCAGAGTCCATAGTCTCTCATGGCTTGTCTCTCCCTCCGATTTCCCCCTTCATTTTTCCCTTCCTATCTTTTTTTTTAACATATAATGTATTATTTGTTTCAGAGGTACAGGTCTGTGATTCAGCAGTCTCACACAATTCACAGCGCTCACCATAGCACATACCCTCCCTAATGTCCATCACCCAGCCACCCCATCCCTCCCACCCCCCACCACTCCAGCAACCCTCAGTTTGTTTCCTGAGATTAAGAATTCCTCTTATCAGTGAGATCATATGATATGTCTTTCTCTGACTGACTTATTTCGCTTAGCATAATACCCTCTAGTTCCATCCATGTCGTGAGGTACCACATCAACTGAAGATTTCTTGAGCGCATTCCCTCTCCATGCCTCTTAGCACTTTCTGAGAACAGAACTTCTGTTTATTACCCTTACTTCATTTTTCAGACTCCAGGAGATAATGGTGAAGCTCTTAAGCATGACATACAAGATCTTCCATGACTTGAGCTGTCCCTGGGCCTACCTATCCTGACTACGTCCCTCTGCCTCAACCTTGTAGTTTACCATGAAGGTCAATGAAAATCTCATGTTTCCTTAACATGTCACACAGCAACCTGTGCCTGCCTCCTTAGTATACACTCTTTCCTCTATCTAGACACAACTCTCCATTTCCTCCCCCTTTCCACCCATCCCCAACAATTCTCCTCCTCATGAACTCCTGCCCTCCAAGATTTAGCTCAACCATCACCATTTCCAGGATGACTTTTCACACTACTCCTGCCTGCAGAGCTGCCTCTTTAGTGCTCCCATAGCATCCCATGTTTATCTCTAGCACAACAAATCTCACACAAATCTCTTCTAAAATTCTATATTTATCTATCAATGTTTCCCGACTAGACTATAAGCTCCTCAGGGCAAGGGCCACTCAGAGTAGGTGCTCAACTTGATTCCTCTGCATGTTAAATACTAGTGGTAAATAATGTTCTGAGGTGTCTTCAGACCTCTACGTCCAATGGACATCCCATGTAAGCCTTCCTCAGTTATGTGACTGGGGAGCTCTGTTGTGGCCGTGTTGTCTTCATGTTCAAAACACATGGCGATGTTGGTTGCTATCACCACCCTTTAGTCTGGAATGAGTCTCCATTGCAGTAAGAGTTAAAGGAATAGAGGGCCTTAAACAAACTAAAATTAGCCATTCCTTGCTACTCAACACTGTCTAAGGTTTGGCAAGACAAATCTCTTGGGCAGGTACAGTGCTGACACAGCAGAGTGAAAAGACATTCAACCAATGCTCAGCAGACTCAAAGAGGAAAACCTGCAACACCTTTACCACAGGAAACTCTGAGTTCTGCTGACTCATTCTGACTTAAAGCGCAATAACACTTGAGTAAGGAGCACCCAGGCTGACTCTGCATTTTTTTTCTGCAGAGCTCACAGAATTTGGCATACAAGAAATTTAATAGTTGTTCTTTATATTCCTTTGTAATTTCTCAGATATTGACTGTGGTCATCTACATTATAGTGTCTGATAGTACTACATGGTATTTTTCTGGCAAAGATGCAGTCCTAGTCAAAATACTGCTAAGAATTTAAAATACTAACTGGAGCTCCCTCAGCTACAGAAAACCATACAGGAAATCTCTTTCACCAAAGAAAGGCTCATTTAGAGGCTAAAAAGTCCTGCTTAAGTAAATAGCTCTCGTCCGTGCTTTGTACAAAGATATCTGTACAACTGGTTCCAACTTAGGAAACAGCATTTAAATATCAACATGAACACATGCTCGGAGAAAAACTGGGTAAATTTTTATCAGGACCAAATCTCTAAGAAACTGTATTAAAGAAAATTATGAAGCAAAGAACCTTCTCAACATCAGGTATTGCAAGTTATCCTTTTCTTTGTTCTTTGTACGGAAGCTATGTGAATTGCATAATGAAAAGTAAAATGGAAGAAATTTCTAGACTGAAGTCTAATTATACTTGAGTCAGTAATTTGTCATGCTTCCTATATATAGTAATGATTATAGTTAACATTTAATTAACTAGCATTACTTCAAATATTTATTCCATTTAAAATCATAATATCTAAGTACTATATTTGAGATATTTAAACAAGTTAAATGTTAAATGCCTTTTCTTTCAGGAAAAGAAAAAAAAGACAGAATTAACTTCAGACTTTTATATTTTTCTTTAAGTGCATATGACATAATCTGCTAGGAAATATCAATTGCTTCAACAAAGACACTATTTTGACTAATCATCATGAAGTAAAGTTTCATTGCACTTGCTTCTTAGCAGCATTATAACTAAATACTTACTTGTTCAGTGTGAGGTCAAGAATGAATTTGGAGCCAAAGGCTTCAATCTGGAAGCTTGCCTGGGCCAGATGGACAGCCTATGGATTCAAAGAGACAGAAAGAACCTTAGCTTACTTTCCTGTCTTTAAAGCTGATTATATTGATATCAATGATATTAAATAAGAAAAACATTTTTATGGATTGACGCACTTCTTTTGGGATTCTTATGTAACAATCCATTTCTTTAAAAGGCTACTTGGTGCATTGTCGTGGCTTCACTTGGAAGACGTAAATATCTGTGTAGCAAGGAACTAATAAAAGACAATAAATGAACACATTGTGATAAAAATCAAGAGCATATTCAGCTGGACTTTCAAAGTGACTATGATGAATTATGCAAAAGTCTGACTAATTAAGGCTTGATTTCAGCCTATTTTGTGCACAAAGCTAACCAATTCTTTCTGCACACCTAAGTGAAAAATCACGTCAGCACTCTGCTCTTCATCAGAAATTGGAACTTTCTCTAAATGGTGTATCAGCAGAATGTGGCAGTAAAATGCAAAAGCACAACCTTTTACCTTCGGAAAGCACTTAGAACCTTGCCCTTTGTGAATACTCAGAGTTTCTGTCCCCCTTTAAAAGTCACACATTTACAAATACTGTCGTTATTGTGCCTTAACTCAAAATACAAAGATAATCTCATCCAAACATGAGTCATATGTACTAGGTGTGAAAGATTCGTTTAGTTCACGGAAGTATCTCGAAAAATGTAAATTAACAAATCAATGTAGTTTTGTTAAAGTACCATCAAAGATAAAATTCTCCTTTATCCCCCATCAGAAAAAAACAAACAAACAAACAAAGAAGGATAAACGCAACACCTACACTTCCTCCCTCTCCCTGCTCACAAATATCCTTCCTGCAGACTTCATTCCTAAGGTACGGTGATGTCACAAATCATCTAAGAAGTGGTCCCCAGTCAAGCACAACTACTGATGGGATAATCACTATCATAACCAAGACACAAAATAAAAAGGAAATTTACAAGTATTAAATTTTAAATACAAAGCAGTGAGAAAGAAGGAGCCCAAATCCCTGACACCTCGGCATACCACGCTAAACCACAATCATGGAGAACACGGTCATCCTACTTGATCTGGGCTTCCTGCATCCAGACAACTACATGACAGAGAAAGAAATTTCTCTCTTGTTAAATGAGGTCTCCATCATCTGCAGCAGAACCTCTATCTTCTGACACAAATATCATATACTCTTTAACCTAATTCATTGTGTCTTGAAGCCTTAAATTTTGCATGGGAAGATTCTGATGAATAATTTGTACAAGGGGAAAATTTTTTTCATTTTTCATTTCTGTGTCCCGAAAGTGTAAAAAAAAAAAGCAAAAACTTACTTCCTGAGGAATAAGATAGGCCCTTAGGCATATTCTCTATTAAGAATATTAAACAGCAAAGAAGAGTTCATTAATGCCACCCTGGCCTTAAAAAGGTGATAAATGTACCTCCTTGAGCAAGTTTATAAACACTAAAAAGAACCTGACAGTAACCACTAAAAGGCTGTTCTAACAACAAATAAGCAATGAGACAAATACAAACCCCAACAAAAGCCTGTTGTAAAATAAAGTAGCCGACAGGAACCACTTACCCCATGTTCTAGACACAATTTGATCGTCATTAAATAAGTTTATAGTGAGTCAATGTGACAAGATTCAGTTTAATAGAATTTAATGAAGGACCTAGCAAATAACATTAATATTGGGATTTTCCTTTTTTTTTTTTTTATCCATTCACTCCCCACACAGGTGGTAAGTCCCACTGTGTGCATAAAGGGGAACGGGACACAGCCCCTGCCTTCAAGGGAGCTGCTGTCTCCAGGGAAGCAGGGAGAGCTGAGAGCCTCAGTGGGCCTCAGGGGCCACAGGAACCAAGACTTCACTGACAAGGTGCAGTTTGAAGAAAATTCCAAAAGATGACTAAGAATCCACCTTCCAGGAGAAGAGAAGACGTTCAGGGCATGGGGAAAAACATTTGCAAAAATAGATTTAAAAATGAATATGGGAAAAAAGCCTTTTTTAATTTTTTAAAAATTAGTATGGCCTATAAAGAAAACAGCTTTTGGAGGAAATGTCAAACACTGAATCTGAAAAGGTGGACTTTGTGTGATGTGCTCATGACCTGTCTGATAACACAGACAGACATGTGGCCAAGATAGCAAACTTGCCTCTAAATGTGCCCCCCGCTTACTCTTCATGGTGTCTGGCACATGACCTAGCATCACCACCATCACTAGTACCAGCACCAACACCACCATCACCATCATCACTAGTACCACAACCACCAGCACCAGCACTAGCACCGTTACCACCATCACCAGCACCATTACCACCATCACCACCATCACCACCACCACCAGCACCATTACCACCATCCATCCGCACCAGCACCATTACCAGCACCAGCACCCGCACCAGCACCACCACCATCAGCACCACCACCATCACCACCACTACCAGCACCAGCACCATTACCACCACCACCACCACCACCACCAACATCAGGACCATCACCACCAGCACCAGCACCATTACCACCAGCACCATCACCACCAGCATCAGCACCACCACCAGCATCAGGACCACCACCATCAGCACCAGCACCATCTCCACCAGCACCAGCATCATCACCATCAATAACGACATTATGAGGCAAACGTATTGACAGATTATTCTCTACAATAACTGAAACAATCACAATGCCATCAACAACATCCCTGTTTCTCCATGGGGAAAGAAAAAATCTAACTGTAGTACCTTAATCAGTAAGAAGGTTTTAACATTTTAACTTATTGTAATAAAAAGAGGCAGCACATTTTCCTATAAAATGAAGATTTCCTCAAGCATTCATCTTCCTTGAACATACCTCAAAGAGAACTGGTATATTCATCTGGTATCTTTGTATCCATGTTAAGAAATTTCAAAACAATGGTATATGTTATTTTTCTTATGTTCTGTTTTCTCTTTCCACTGCTATACATACATACAATCTAAACAGAGTATAGATTCTTCTCTATATTGAAATAAATACCCGACAAATGCTACTTTTCTCTATCATTCTGTTATTTCTGCTCTGTCTTAGACATGATTGAAGTAGCTTTTAACTTCTGGAATCTCTGCCATTCCATATCAATTGATCATGTTTTATTTAACAAAATACTATGCAGTTTTGATAACTGTCAAATTTAAATATGTTTTCAAATCAGGTAAAATGAGTCCTTGTCACTATTGTTTTACAAATTACATTTTTGGATATTCTTTGTTTTTACTTCATATTAACCTACTTCTTCCAAATGACTGAAAAAATTTGAAGAATGGCCAAGATGAGTAGAAAGCTTTATAATACGCAGCCACATCACTTAGTTTATTAAATATTTTAGAGATGACTAACTGACCAGGACCACTGAAACCCCTGAAAATACAAAGACTACTTCAAGTATTGCTCTTCTTTTACAAAGAAGGAACCGTCCAATGAGGTTTAGAAATGTGTTCAATAATACATAATTGGATCCTAGGAATACTTCAGAGAAAAGTTCATGAACCACACATAAGATCATAATGGGTTATTTTCCCCTTTGGGATATCTGTTAAAAGGACTTGATGACTAACACTTGATTTTACAAGGACAGTCACTGTAATAGCACTGGGGAAAGAACGCTGCGTTTTACAGTCAAAGAGCATCATTTCACGACAAGAATAAGCACAGCCCTGGGCTCAGAATTACCACCCTGAAGGGTTGAGAACAGCTGTGCCTAAGCACCTTGATATTTTTCTTTTGACTCAGAATCTGGCACAGGGAAATTACAGGAGCTATATAAACAAAAACAACTAAACTCAATTATATACACAAACCTCCTTCACTGAAGAGCAATTTCCACATTTAACAATGTGCTTTTGCTTTTCTAGTTTTGTTTTATTTTTTTTCCCTTTTAGGAGATGGCACCTAATGGTATCATATTAAATAACTTTAGAAGACTGTCAGGTTCCCTAGTGAAGACTAGCTTTGCAGCTTATCATCAAGCAATGTTATAATATTGAGCAATCGTGTACATTACATAAGCTGAAGACACACTGTTACATTTTCTTGGGACTTATATTCTAGAACAGTTGACATTAATATAGACACGAAGACAAGAGAAAAAGATGACTCTCTCTACTTATAGAAATAGAAATCAGGCATTTCCAGAGTACATATGTTTTCATGCAAAAATGCCTCACACATAATGAGTGTTCAATCAGTATTCTTTACTACTTGGCAAGGTTCCTGTGTTCTACACAGTGCACACATAACCAAAACTAAATATAGGGAGTGGAAAGTTGACACTTTCCCAGAATTCAGAAAATATTATAAGACTGAATGTCATAATTCAGTTAGAAAGTGAGCAACTTGAATTAAGGTATCGAAGCGATCAATCACAACATCCTCTGAACAAGTGATGTACTTTAGTATGCTCTATAAGGTACATGGTTTGGGAAACAGAAGAAAATTTGGAAGAAGTTTTCCTGCTCTTAAGATAGATTCAGTTTATTTAGGGAGACACTCATTTAAGTAATAGAGAAAACTTAGCTGGAGTAGCATATCAATAAAACAAACAATGTTTTACAAATGGACTGCAGAAGCCCTGAAGAGAATGAAGCAGGTCTAAGCAGACATCAGTAGGATCATTCCAGCACTGCTTTCGAAAGAAGAAGGTTGAGGGCTTCTAGGAAAGAAGGTGCTAGAAAGATCACAATGTTGTAATTAGAGTTAGAACCCAAGATTAATAAACTGTTTTTCCAACTGGAAAGAATCATGGAAAAAGTAAAACAGCTAAATAGCTGATTATTAGTGAGACTACAGGTAATTTTTTTCTTATTTTTCTTCCTTCACATCTATAATATTGCTCATTCTATGTTCATTAAAATATTTTATTTATAGTGAGTGTGTGTCTGCATCTGTGTGTATAAACCATAACTTTTTCAGGAACTGTTTTCCTCTTCCTTTATCTTTCTGCTTAGGATTTTTTTCCCCAACTCTTGATTTTTCAA